ATTGTTCCCCTCCTTCCTCTGTAAACAATTTGACTGGTGGGGTTTTAGGGTTTCCTTGACTTCACATTTCTTGAAGTAAAGGATGTTTATCAGAGCATGGGCCTTTACCCTAGAAAGTCAGGGCTTTCACCATCTCCTGCAGCAGAGAAACACACATGTATACAAGGAAACGACAGGCAGAGAATTACAGCGGGAACAGGAAAATGCACCTTGTGAAGTAGCACTTGGGAATTTCATTTTCTATAAGCAGCACACAGTGTGGTCCCCGGGTTTGTTTAAGCATCCCCCCGCAAGCCAGTTCAGCTTCACCATGCTCTTCAAGCAGACCTTCGCATTTTGTGTCTCCAAACAGCCAACTACAACTTCTGATGTTGTGAACCATTGTTCATCATTTTGAGCACAAGGCTACATTAGGCTACATGAGTTTTCTGGGCTGTACAGCCATGGTCCAGAAGCATTCTCTCCTGATGTTTGCCCACATCTATGGCAGCCATCTTCAGAGGTTGTGAGGTCAGTTGGAAACCAGACAAGCGAGGTTTATATATCTGTGGAATTCCAGAGTGGGAGAAAGAACTCTTTTCTGCTTGAGGCAAGTGTGAATATTGCAACTGGCCACCTTGATGGCACTTTTCGATCCGCTCTGCTGCCTGAGGGATCCTTTGTTGGGAGGTGTTAGCTGGGCCTGATTGATTCTTGTCTGGAATTCCCTGTTTTTTGAGTTTTGTTCTTTATTTACTGTCCTGATTTTAGAGTTTTTAAAATGCTACTCAAGGTCGCCAATTGCAACATTCACACTTCCCTCAAGCAGACAAGAGTTCTTTCTCTCTTCCTGGACACTCCACAGATATATAAGCCTACCTGAGGGCATACAAATATTGTGTGGACAATTTGCAAGACATCTGGGATTTCACAAAAGGGGTACATAGAATCATAGAGTTGAAGGAGACCATATAGACCATCTAGTCCAGTGGTTCTCAACCTGTGGGTCCCCAGGTGTTTTGGCCTACAACTCCCAGAAATTCCAGCCAGTTTACCAGCTGTTAGGATTTCTGGGAGTTGAAGGCCAAAACATCTGGGGACCCACAGGTTGAGAATCACTGATCTAGTCCAACCTCCTGCCATGCAGGAAAAGCACAATTAAAGCACAATTGATGGTCACTCAGCTTCTGTTCAAAAGCCTTCCAAGGTACTGAGGAGCTATTCCTGCATCTCGGGATTTCACCTTGCATGAGCCAATCTAAGACACTTCATCTCTCCCTACTTCTCCTTTTCATCCTTGTTGTCTGCATCAGTCTGACTTCATTAATTATTTTTATTTTAAAAAGAAAAAGGTGATTACATTTAGTATGTAAAGTGAGTTAGGCTGACCTGCTCAACACCAATGTCTAAAGCATAAATGAAGCGTCTGTGGCCTTTCAGAATTTGGCCTGAAGCATCCTTACAAGTTGATGCAGCAGCAAAGGTCAATGCAATGTTAGACGGCATCGACAGAATTAAAGTGTCTAGATTGAGGCACATTCCATTCTCCTTGGTAAGACCTCACTTGCAATATTATTTTCTAAACACCATAAAGTTTAAGCTGGATATGGACAAGCTGGAACGTGCCCAGAGAAGGGACAAATACTATTAAAACCAAATCCTATGAGGAACAGTTGAGGAGTGTTCTGTGGGTTGCCTGTATTTAGCTTGGGAAAGAGAAAAGGGAGATACAATATCAGAGCCACCTTCAAACATCTAAACTGCCATCTACAGAAAACCAGAAGGTTGGCAGTTCAAGCCGTGGGTTGGGGAGAGCTCCCGCCATCAGCCCTAGCTTCTGCTTAGCTAGCAGTTTGAAAACAGCAAAGTCAGTAGATAGATAGGTACTGCTGTAAGGTAAAGGCAAAGGTAGTTCCCTGACATTAAGTCCAGTCATGTCTGACTCTGGGGTGTGGTGCTCATCTCAATTTCTAAGCCGAAGAGCCAGCGTTGTCCGTAGACACCTCCAAGGTCATGCGGCTGGCATGACTGCATGGAGTGCCGTTACCTTCCTGCCGGAGCGGTACCTATTGATCTACTCACATTTGCATGTTTTCGAACTGCTAGGTTGGCAGAAGCTAGGGCTGACAGCAGAAGCTCACGCCGCTCCCCGGAATCGAACCTGCGACCTTTCGATCAACAAGCTCAGCAGCTCAGTGCTTTAACCCACTGCGCCACCGGGGGCTCCTAGGTACTGCTGTAGCAGGGAGGTAAAAGGCACCCCTGAAGACATGCCGGCAATTCGATCAGGAAAGGCGTTCATGGACAACAGGCTCCTCAGGAAAGGCGTCCATGGACAACAGGCTCCTCAATGTGGAAAAATGGGACAACAGCACCGAATTATGGCCGAATTGAGCACAGCCTCCAGATGCCAGAAATGAAAAAGAAGGAAACCTTGCCTCTATGTATTGTCTGTCTTTGTTAATTGTATAATGGCATTGAATGTTTGCCATATATGTATTCTGTAATCCACTCTGAGTCCCCTTGGGGAGATAGAGCAGAATATAAATAAAGATGATGATGATGATTATCAGCATCATCATGCAGAAGACCAATCCTACTCACAGTGATGATTCAGACATAGGAAGGAACTATATCATTAAATAGCAATTAGTATTGTCTATGCCATAGTATTTCTGATTTCTATGTATAGTTGTGATGGTTGGAGATTAAGGTTGACAGGAAAAGAATCAACTTATTTAAACCATGGAGGAGAGTTCTATGGATACCATTGACTACTAAAAAGGCAAATTAAGCATGAATGCTTCCTGGAAGCCTAAATGAGGCTGTGGTACTTTGGACATATCATGAGATGAATTGACTCATTGGAAAATATTACAACGCTTAGTAAAGTCAAAGGCAGTAAGAAAAGGGAAAGATCACATGACAGGTGGCTTGATTCAGTCAAGTTTTCAAGACCTGAGCAGGCTAGTCAAATAATGGTCTCTTGGAAGTCTTTTCCTTTTTGGAGTTGCCAAAAATCAAAGTCAATTTGATGGCAAATAATAGCATGCAGCTTTCGAGGACCTACTCTTTTTTGGGTATGATTTTCTTCCTATTCCATTTTCCCCTTCAAAATGGTAAAATGCATCTCTTAGAATGAGTCAGTTTGAGTGCTATGCTAACCTTTGTAAGCTCATGCAGAAAGAGGACAAAATGGACTTAAAAGGCTGAAAATGCTAGAAGCTGAGAGAAACCCATGGTGGGTTTCTTCATCCCTCCCTGACACCTGGGAGGGGTGGAGGACTCATTCCTAGAATGCACTGCAACACAGATGCTTTCTTGTGATCGACCAGGACAGCTATCCAACTCACAGGCCCAGGCAGATCTAGTGACCACAACAGAAGCTACCATAATTACAAGTTTAAGAAAGGGGTTTAAGAGGAAGGCTTTTTCTAATCTAGTGGGGGGATTCAGAGGAAAGGTTTGCTTTAATATGAGCTTGAGAAACACTTCTGAAGCTAATTCCCAAGACTTCAAAGCCCCAAATCTTCTTGCTGTGTTTCACTTTCCAAGATCTTATCCTACCCTGAATCCATGTATCCTATGCAGGTAGTAATTGAAACAGGCACAGTAGAGTTGGAACAGGGCTGAAAGGAAGTTCTCAAGCAAACAAAACTTTTGATAGTGTCGGGGTTCCTATCAGCATTTCCAGGCTGAGGTGGAGTTGGAGTGCTGCTTTTTAGGAGACTGTGGTGCACTGGTTCACAACCTTCCGAATGCCGCGACCCCTTAATACAGTTCCTCATGTTGTGGACCCCCAATCATAAAATTATTTTCGTTGCTACTTCATAGCTGTAATTTTGGTACTGTTATGAATCGTGATGTAAATATCTGATATGCAGGATGTATTTTCATTCATTGGACCAAATTTGGCACAAATACCCGATATGCCCAAATGTGAACATTGGTGGGGTGGGGTGGGGATTGATTTTGTCATTTGGGAGTTATAGTTGCTGGGATTTATCATTCATCTTGGTTTTTTTGATGTTTAACTGCAACCCAGCTTTTGTGCTTTCTTCTTTCAGCTTGATTAACGTAACTCAAAAACCACTGAACGAATTGACATGATTTGGACACCATACACCTACTACACCAAGGCGTGACCATCACTCAAAAAATTGATTTTGTCATTTGGGATTTACAGTTTACCTACAATCAAAGAGCATTCTGAACCCCACCAATGATGGAATTGAACCAAACTTGGCACATAAGACTCCCACAACCAACAGAAATTTCTGGAAGGGTTTGGTGGGCACTGACCTTGAGTTTTGGAGCTGTAGTTCACCTACATTCAGAGAGCACTGTGGACTCAAAACAATGATGGAGCTGTACCAATCTTGGCACAGATACTCAATATGCACTAATGTGAGAGTTTGGGGAAAATAGACCTTGGCATTTGGGGGTTATAACTGCTGTGATCTGAACCCCTCCAATGATAGAATTGGGCCAAACTTCCCACACAGAACCCCCGTGTCTTGAAGGGACTCCCTGGCGTGAGCCTCTCTCTAGCCTCGCACACTATCCCTTGCCTGCACACGAATATCACACCGCCATGAGTTCAGCACACCTGCTCTTCTCTCCCCAATTAAGTCTCAGAAACAGACCTCCCCTTGGTTGAGAGGCCAGCCAATCACAGCAGAGGAGGACTTTTGGTGGGAGGATTCGCCATCTGTTTCCAAAAAGGAAGAGAATTGAAGAGAGGTGGAGAGTTCTTCGGCTTTCTCTGATGGTCTTGTGCAACCCCTCTAAAACCTCTCCTCACAACCTCCCCAGGGGTCCCGACCCCCAGGCTGAAAAACGCTGCTATCGTTGGAGAGGATTTGTTTAAATATTTCACATTTTACAGAGAATAAGCTTCTGCTCCAACAATGAACAAATGCAAAAGTAACACAAGAAAGCCTTAGCAGAACAAATTCTTTCATATTAGGAAAAGACAAAACAAATGGCAAGGATTACCCAGAAAACAACACACTTGGGTGGAAGGTCGCAGGTACATTATTTATCATTTCACAACACTCACAATAATTTCACAACACTCATGAAACATCTACCAGTTTTTTTTTTATCTTTTTGCATGTGTTTGTCTATGAACCATGGTATGCCTTACCCAAATACAACTGCACAAAGGAGATTTAAGATGTGTACCATTGTTTTCAGTTTCTCCAATAAAGCTCTTGATGCCACTTCCCTCAGAACTGGCCCCCCAATTGAAAGACAATGTGGAAATCAAAGTAGCTGAAGAAGTGTCAGGGACTTAGAAAGAGACGCTGGATCTGCAGAGGCTAAATACTGACAGCAGAGCCAATCCTCCAGCTCAATTCTACGCTCAGTGTCCACAGCCCGCTCTGCAAATTTCATCATTAGCAGTGCCCGTTTCATGTCAATCCAGTTGTGAAGAGCCCCACGGAGGGCCTCCTCGTGGTTCAGCGGCTGTTCGATTAAGTCCTTTCGGGGTCCCCAGAGCAGACACTGCAGTATCCGCTTGGCTTCCCCAATGCGGATGCGTTTGATCGGATCGGCTTCCAGCAGCAGGTGAGCAAGTTGCTGGAGCCCCCGAGAATAGATGGAAAGGTTGGGGAGTGGAGGGAGATCATCTGGGCTGTATTCCTGTCCCCGGAGGTGGGCCTTCACTTCAAATGGGTTGGGCTGGTGGAGCAATTCGTAGATGAGGATGCCGGTTTGGAATTCATCAAACTTTTTGTACTGGGAGGCAGAAACGATCTCAGGAGCTAGCCGGGCCTGGTTCTTTTTCCCTTTCGACTCGGTTGCAGCTGGCTTCTGCTTGGCTTTCAAAAAGTTGCTGATAATGAGCCTTGGCAAGTGCTTGTCCTCTTTGGTTTTGTTGCAGCTGCTGGGGCGAGGCCCGCAATGCACCAGCAGCAGGTTCTCCAGGCAGAGATCTCGGTGGATGACGCTATACTCTTTGAGGTGCTCCAGCCCATTGCAAAGCTGCAGGAGCAGGAAACACACCCGCCTCTCGTACAGCTCTGGCTTCGCTTGGTGGAAGGCCCTGCTTTCCCTCACAAAGTCGGCGGCAGTTTGTTGGGGCACTTCTCGCGTGATGACGACCACACAGTCCTGCTCAGAGGCCACATGGGAGGGGCCCTGGCCCTCCATGGGAGCATTTTTCAGCATGCTGGAGGGCACCGAGGCGACAAAATGGCCACAGTCCTGCTGGATATTGAAGTGAACAGGAACAGAGGGGCTGCAGCAGGAAGTGGCAGCTTTTGTGTCTTGAGATTTGCATATCTGTGAACAGAAAGGAGAAACGTGGCAGAAATAAAAGGCTAAGAAGGTAGCTGCAAGGGAAGGGGATGGGGAATGAATGTAAAGGAGCAAAAGTCTAGTTCCAGAAAAACATTGCTTCACAAAGGCTTAATTTCAAGCAGAGAGGCATAACCAAGAAAGCGGTTTTTCTGGGAAGCAGAGGAACATGGATAACAACATCTAGAGCAGTAGTTCTCAACCTGTGGGTCCCCAGGTGTTTTGGCCTCCAAATCACAGAAATCCCAGCCAGTTTACCAGCTGTTAGGATTTGGGAGTTGAAGGGCAAAGCATCTGGGAACCCACAGGTTGAGTACCACTGCTCTAGAGTTTAAGAATGTTGTACGCTTAGATTATAACTCTCATAGTTTCCCCTGTGATTTAGGGATATATGAAAATAAGCCATATTTTTCCATTCGGATTGTTCAGATTAAGGACTGGAGTAGAAATGTCATTGAATCACATTGGTTACTTTTACACCATTTGACTTTCACAGAGCAAGGAGCTGCAACGGGAATATTTGGCAGAAGTGATGGCAAGAGGAAGGCGTTTACATTCAGCAGATACTGAGTCCCAGGTCAGAGATGCTCTAAAGCAGGCACGGGCAAACTTTGGCCCTCCAGGTGTTTTGGACTTCAACTCCCACAATTCCTAACAGCCGATAGGTTGTTAGGAACTGAAGGAGTTGAAATCCAAAACACCTGGAGGGCCAAAGTTTGCCCATGCCTGCTCTAAAGTCAAGGCAGGCAACTCTGCCCTCTAAATGTTGGACTGCGACTGTCTATCAGCCCTAGCCTGACTATGAAATTCCAGGAGCATGTGATAACACCATTATCCTGGAGCCAAAAGGGCAAATTCTAGGTAACCGAAGGGTAACAATATGAGCCGTCGATTAGATTTAGGAAACATCATGACATAAGACCTGCTGAAGATCATGAGACACACCATCTCTCCAAAGGAACAACCTGTTGGTGTGAAATTTTCCAGATTCTTTGGGGGCCAAAGGTTATAAAAACACAAGGAACTACACACAGTGAGAGAGAAATTACTTGGGACTCATGGAGTTGCCTACCTAGCTGTCCCTTGGGAAGTGTGACTGCAGGCTGGTCAAAGCTATACTGACTTGCTAATTCCCTAACCCAAAAGCAAAGAAAATCAAAACGCACTGCAGACTAATTCAGCCAGAGAAGTCAGCCATAGCAGAGCACCTGATGAACCAACCTAGAAACAGCATATTATTTGAGAACACAGAAATGCTGGACCATTCTTAACAACCACCATGTCAGACTACACAGAGAAACCACTGAAATCCACAAGCGTGTGGACAATTTCAGCAGAAAGGAGGAAACCATGAAAATGAACAAAATCTGGCTACCAATATTTTAAAAACTCTAAAATCAGGACAGTAAATAAAGAACAATACTAAAAAAGCAGGGGAATTCCAGATAAGAAACACAGGGACAGCTAAAACTTCCCAACAAAGGATTCCTCCAGGCAGCAACCAGCCAGGCATTGACATTGCAAGTCTATTAAATGCTAATCAAGTCACCTATAACACATGGCATATGCTTTTTTCATGCAGAAAATACTCAGCAGTGTATTGTCCTCCAATATGTAGCCTACAGAATTGAAAGTTTCCCATCCAAGAATTAGGACAGTACCTTCCAAGTTTTGGTATGTTCAGGTTATTTATACCTGTTAAAAGTTATTGGTAACAAATAACATTTCTATGTTGGGGCAGCAAGTTAAACCACTAGCTGGAGGAAATCTGCTGATCAGATGGTTGGCAGTTTGAAGCTGCGAGTTGGAGTGAGCTCCCGCTGTTAGCCTTAGTTTCTGCCAATCTAGCAATTCAGAAGCATGCAATTTTTCCAAAGAGACAATCTGTTGGTGTGTAAGTAGATCAATAGGTATTGCCTTGACGGGAAGGTAAAAGGGTGCCCCATGCAGACATGCTGGCAAAACATGATCCGAGATGTCTACGGACAACAGGCTTCTTGGCATGGAAAAATAGAACAAGAGCGCCTCCCCATGGCTGGAGTTGAGCATTGCCTCCAGACGCCGGAAATGAAAAAGGGGAAGACCTTTATCTTTGTCTGTGTATTGTATGTCGTTGTTGTTCACTGTGTAATAGGCATTACATGTTTGCCTTATATGTGTATATTGTAAACTGCTCTGAGTCCCTCCAGGGAGATAAAGCAGAATATAAATAAAGTGTATATTAAATCTATGCTTTATTCTTACAGTTTTCTTCCCTAGCCCTGACCACAGTTGTCCTTCCAGTTTTGACTTTTTGCAGTTTTGACTTTTACAGATTTGAATATTCACAGGGGTAATTAAAAATCTCTAAGACTCTCTAGGTCCTCCATTGTGACTCTATGGATAGTTTCCTCCATTCATGCTGGGGGATCTAGACATATCTAGGGAGAAAATACCCCTAGGAATCTGTAGTTTCTCCAGTGCAATTCTAGCTCACTCTGTAAAATTCCATTAGCATTTATTTTATAATGGTTTTGTTATTTTCATTTCATTACTATGTTATTATTAAGCATTTTATTTGATATTATTGTCTGTTTTATATGTACTTTTGCTTTATTGTAATTGTTTGGGCTTGGCCTCATGTTAACCAGCCTGAATCCCTCCAGTGGCGGGCTATAAATAAGAAGAAGAAGAAGAAGAAGAAGAAGAAGAAACAGAAACACAACAAGACGAGTCCACAGCAGACAAGATCACTCTGCTGGCTGTTGTATTGGATCACACATTGGACACTTCCCAAGTGTCTAGGACTGTGTGATGTATTGGCGAATAATGCATGCAGATCCCAGTAAGGTGGCCTTCTGCAGCTGGCAGATGGTAATTTTGTCAGCGCCGATTGTGTTTAAGTGCAGGCCAAGGTCTTTAGGCACTGCACCCAGTTTGCCGATCACCACTGGGACCACCTTTACTGGCTTGTGCCAGAGTCTTTGCAGATTATTGTTGTTGTTGTTGTTGTTGTTGTTATGTTCAGCTTCCAGCAGATGCTGACCACGGAGTCATGATAGAAGGCTTAGAAATTTCTGGAGTGGTGTTCTCTCAACTAAAAAAGCAATTTCTTCATCTGTGGGTTTTCACTTTCATGGGGGTTCTGTACTCCTAACTCCTGTGAATGCAGAGGGCTGATTGTACTGCAAACATGCGTCACAGGGGAAAATGGGCTCAAGAAGGAAAATTGATAGGTGTTGAAGGGTTGTACAACTTCTTTCTTTGAAATTGTGTGCATATTCGGTTCTGCAGACCCACATTCTCAGTCTTTGGTCTTCTGTCAAATGTGTAGTTCAGCCTTGAGATGAGGCTTTTGAAGTGAAACTGCTTGGGCTCGGTTTCCTGCCAATCCTGCTCATTATTTTATCTTTTGTGAGAAAAAGATGAACAGTGCCTTGGCTCCCAAGGATGACAGGGGCCTTGTCTTTGCTGCTCACACTTTGAAAGAGTCAGGCCTGTTGAAGCTTGACTTCCTCAGTGATCTGATCTATAGCTTCTCTCATGCCTGCAAGCCGTGCCACAACATCACACGGATTGGGTGCGGTGGGGAAGAGCCCCCGGAAAATTCAGCTGCCAAGTCTTAAAACTATTGTCTATTAGAAATATTCCAGCAATGGGAATGAAAGCATTCCTAAAAAATTGCCTAGCTACATTTCCCCATTTGGAATCCATGCACAGCAGCCAAGCTTACATCTCCATTCTTTTGTTTGAGCTTCAGTGTGCTACTGTCTGCCAACGTCAGACAATAAAGGCACATTTTGTAATGCAGGGACACATGCGTGTGGTCTGCCGGGAAGACAAAAAATGGTTTGTCTCATTCCTTTGCAAGCACACCCTTTCTGTAGTAAGCCTCCATTGGGAATCCAAACCAAGGGAAGTAACTTGAGCGACAGGAAGGCTGGCCTTTGTGAAACTGGCATCTGTGCAGACGGCGGTCCGTGCAGTGCATTGAAAATGAGTGCCACAATTCACACTGTGTAAAGAAAGAGGGGCGCAAAGAGAAATTATGCAGGTTTTGGACTCAGCCAGTTATGGGTTTGTTTCCAGGCCTCTTTTGCTTGCTGTAGTTCTTACACATTTTAAAAAAATGATTTCTAGGTTGGCACTGCCTGATTCACTCTTGCTTTGTTGTTGTTGTTTTTATTCGTTCAGTTGCTTCCGAGTCTTCGTGTCCTCATGGACCAGCTCTCATCAGAGCTCCGTGTTGGCCATCACCACCCCCAGCTCCTTCAAGGTCAAGCCAGTCACTTCAAGGATACCACCCATCCATCTTGCCCTTGGTCGGCCCCTCTTCCTTTTTCCTTGCATTTCCCCCAGCATCATTGTCTTCTCTAAGCTTTCCTGTCTTCTCATGATGTGGCCAAAGTACTTCATCTTTGCCTCTAATATCCTTCCCTCCAGTGAGCAGTCAGGCTTTATTTCCTGAAGTATGGACTGGTTGGATCTCCTCGTGGTCCAAGGCACTCTCAGTATTTTCCTCCCATACCACAGTCCAAAAATGTCTATCTTCCTTTGCTCAGCTTTCCTTATGGTCCAGCTCTTGCATCCACAGGTTACTATGGGGAATACCATTGCTTTAACTATGCATATCTTCATTGTCAGTGTGATGTCTCTACTCTTCACTATTTTATCGAGATTGGTTATTGCTCTCCTCCCAAGAAGTAAATGTCTTCTGATTTCCTGGCTGCAGTCTGCCTCTTCAGTAATCTTCACACCTACAAAGTCTTCACTGCTTCCATGTTTTCGCCCTCTATTTGCCAGTTCTCAATCAGTCTGGTTGCCATAATCTTGGAAGGAATTTCTCAGCGAATCATGTCCCGTGTCTCTGAACATCCTTTCACTAGCAACCTGTGGGAATGTAGCATCCCATAGATTACAGAGATATATGGGATTGTCCCTTTTTTGTATTTCATCTGATAGAAATGTTGATGCCAATACTCACTACCAGCCCAGGTTTGCTCTATCTGGGCTATAAAGGCTACAATAGCAAGTAGATAGCGGTGAACCCTATTGGCTGCACTTCAGTTTCAGGAGAACAGTTCAGGAGAACAGTTGCTTGCAGATCAAACAACGAATACAACAAAAGCTTCTTTCCTGTTCTTTAATAACTTTTGGACCAGTTCTTTGGAGCTGACTCATGATCTGTATTTTAGTTTCAGTTCGCACTGGCAAGAGAAAGAGTAGCTGAGCAAAAGAAAAAGCCCTAGATCAGTGGTTCCCAACCTTTTTTGATCAGGGATTACTTCCAGGAACCACTCTCCAACATTAGATTCTGTTTGGTTATTTGGGGTGTTGATTCAGAACATTGCATCGGATAGATCACATCAGCTCTAGTTTCTGATATAGCACATATGCCATCCAGTAATCGCCATCTGCTTGCCCACAGAAAACCATAAGTCTTGACACTATAAGAGGGTGTTGCGAGACGAGTTGCTCTCGTTGCAGCGATGTAGTAACAGTGAGGCTGCAGACCATATTTTAGTTCTTGTGAACCACAGGTTGGGAATCGCTGCCCTAGACACTGCTGACAAACAAAATTCCCTCAATCATTCTTAGCAATCATCTGAAAATGTATTTTTTTTTTTAAAAAAAGAAAGTTTCTAGTCTTCATGACTGAAGACAAATTTGAAAAATGAGGTCAACATGTGACTTGGGGGGAAAAAAAACAAAGGTCAGGAAAAAGATGACTACCATTATGGGCAATACAGATTCGATCACGAAACACAGATAGCCTCAATTTAAAAAAATTGAAAGAAACCAAATTTGGGATTTCAAAATCTCTAAGTAAAATATGCAACGTATTTCTAAGATCAGCCTTCACACCTGGCCAAAAACAAGACAAACATTTTCTACTTCTTCTTTTAGAGACAATGGGATACAGGGAATCACAGGCCTGTAAGCAGAATGTTCTGTTCCAGATAAATGGATATAAAGTGTTATTAATGACAAAATTATCAACAAAATTAAAGGACAAGTCCTGACGAAAAAGAATCAACTTGGTTTCTTGTGCTATATATACAGCGTCCCTACTTTGCGGATTTTCAGTTTTCGCGGGTGGTCCTGGAACGTAAGCGATAAGTGAGCGAACACTGTATACGTGTGTGTGTGACAAAGAGAGAGGGAGAGAAACATGGAGAAGAGTGTTACTATGTGTGAGAGGGCAACAGAGAAACAGGGACACTCTGCAGGTTCTATGTGACAGTGCAAGAAGGAATGGAGCTGTACAGAGTGGATCTGCACAAGGCAGAACTATGCGACCTTTCTCAAATGTTGGGTCTGGTTTCATCCCATCAATAGCTTTACCATCTTTTCCATCAATGACATTTCCTGGAAGTCATCGACAAAGAAAAGGTGTTCCCTTTCTTCATTATGGAATAGCTGCTTACTTACCTTCACGGCATAGGTGCTCAAGGGGTCCTTGGAGCAGGTGGCACAGTAATATATGGCATCCCCTGAATTACAACATGGCTTGTTACATGTCAGTTTGAAGAGCGACCAGTTGTTCTCACTAAAATGCAGCTCACTCTTCTGGTCGCGCATGAAACAGTCTTCACACTTGGAAACAAGACGGCGTAAGGATTCTGCGTAGAGCCCTCCCAGCTTGGCATACACCCCTTCCTTGTTGTCAATGTTACTGAGGAGGTTGTGGAGCTGGAGGCTGGAGCCAGAGGAGGACACCTGAGTGGACATACTGTGCTGGGAAGAAGAATGAGGGGGCAAGTTTTTGTTCTGGCTACAGCAGACATTGCTGTTTTGACTAGAACACGGAAATGGGAAATTGGATCCTTTGAAAGCTTTCTCGAAGGATTCAGAGGAGGAAAATGTCCGGTGGTTGACCCCCAAGTTAGAGCCAAAGGAAGACTCTTCTCGGATACAGACATTGCTTTCCGACTGGCTGAAGTTCAGCTTGGGGCTGGTTGGGGGGATGGCTGCTCTAGCTGGAGAGGCTGGTCCCCAGTAAAAGCCATCAGGTGATGAAACAGCTCTGCTGACTGTTTTCTTCTGTGGCAGAGGGGGTGGTTGTAAATCTTTGCAAGGTGTTCTGTCTCTGCTGGGACATGAAGATAAAGGAGCCGAAGGAAAGACCTGCTTCCCTGCATGGCTCATTTTGCACAGTTGTCCTGAAAGACATATAAGTAAACCAATCATGAGGCAGAGATTCCTACCAGCATAGAAAAATAAAAATGCTTGACGTAAGTATCAGGTTCTGCTTATACAAGTCATCCCATGCAAGCATAGCATAAGAAAACAACCTAAAGGCTGAGAATGAAAATAGGGGTTGAGAGAAATGTAGTGTGGCATTTTGTGCAACACAACTGAATCAATCTTTGTCAAGGAAGATCACTTGGGCCCTATTTCTGTAGCTCCATTCTTTAGAATGGGACAGCAGTGGTGTGGAAAGTAACCTCCACTCAAGAAGAGGCCTCATATACTCCCAGGCGGAGCCAGGAAGAAGTGATAGTGAAACCCATTAGAAGTCTTTGTCATGGGCAGTTGAGTTATTTCAGAAATATAACAAAAATGACAGGGTGTGTGTTGGGGGGGGGGGGGATACCTTAAAGACACCAGATCCTCTTTGGCCTTGGAAGCTAAGCAGGGTCAGTGTGGGTTGACTGCGAACTACCAACAAATACCAAATGTGATAGCCGGCATGGGATACACTAATTTGGAGGCTGCATGATGGGTTGGATCAGGATGGGTGGGCTGGGCGAGAGGGGGTTCTCCCCAAGTCCCCTCCCTGCCCTTTCCACCCCTTCCTCTTCTCTTTGGAGGCAGAAAGTCAAAGAAAAACAGGAAATGTTTGGATCTTAGCCTTGATCAGGATGAGATGGTGGACAGAAGAGAAAAAGTGTATCTATTAGACCCTGTATTGCCTACTCCTGATATAGAATCCTAGAGCTGGAAGAGACCCCCAAGGGCTATCCAGTCCAACCCCCTGCCATACAAGAAGGCACAATCAAAGCACTCTCGATAAAAAGCCTATGTGGAAAAGCCTCCAGAGAAAGAGACTCCACCACACCTATGCCAGCCTATGCCACTCTCCAACAGCTCTTACTCTCAGGAAGTTCTTCCTAATATTTTCAGCCTAATCCCTTTCCCTGCCATTTGAATCCATTGCTTCCTTGTGCCCTGGTCGCTAGAGCAGCAGAAAGTCAGTTTTCCCCTTCCTCCTCCTTCTCAATGGGACATCATTTGAAATCTTGAAACATGGTTCTCATGGTCCCTCTCAACTTTCTCTTCTCTTGGCTAAATATCCCCCAGGAGGAAAGGAGGAAGGAAAAAGAGAAGGAAGGAAAGGTTGAAGGGAATGGAGGGAGGGAAGGGAGAAGGAAGGAAAGACAAAAGAGTAGAAAGAGAAAGAGGGAGAGAGGGAAGGAGGGAGGAAAGATGGAAGGAAGGAAGAACGAAAGGGTGGAAGGGAAGGAAGGATGGAAGGAGAAAGAGGAGGGAAAAGAAGGGAGAGAGGGAAGGAAAGAGAGAAGGAAGGAAGGGATGGTGAAAGAGAGGAGGGGCTGCGAAAAGAGCCCAAGGGGCCGCATTCGGGTCCCATGCCTGGGTTTCCCTATACCTGTGCTATAGGCTAAATTTCAGAGGCGGGAACTACCTCTGACTATTCCTTCTCTAAGAAAATTCTATGGAATACATGAGGTCACTGGAAGTCAAATTGAAGGTTCATGTGCACACACACATGACAAAATGGAAGGAACTGTTTCACCCCACAACTCCCTGGAATTAATCTGTGGAATGTTTCAACCTCTCTTCTCATCAATAAAATAATGTCAACAGATTCCAAAATGAGCACCCAGGATCACAATTATGAGCTTTCTTTATTTTATTTTAGATTTATTTTTATTTTAGACTGCTGGGAGGTGAAGCAGAAAACGAGTAAAGTGGCATTTAAGGTGTCTAAGGTATAAGCAGAGGAAATATTTCAAATACTTTTGAAAGCATGGGTAACTGTTTATGCATTGCTTATGGAAGGATAACATATAGTACTTCGACAATGTACTATGAATTATGATCTCTTGCTCTATGTGGAAGTCTTTTCTTCCTTCTATTTTGTGAAGAATGAATACCAGTAATAATTCTTTGTGTTCTCAATGACTCATTGTCATGGGTCTTATACTTTCACAGAGCCACACTGAGAACCTTTTAGAGCTGAATAGCTTTTTGGTGGGAACCCCACTCTGAACTTCCAGTGTACATACCTAGGTGTGGCCAGTGCTATATTGCCTCCAGTCTTTTCCGTCTGCCACAAAAACAACATTGTGAAGAACATTCCCAGTTGTCATTAACCTTTGGTCTTCATTGCTAAATATCTTCTTTGAGGGGAGGGAAGTGTTCTGTATTTTCAAACTTGGACTGCTTTTTTTAAATGGTTCGTCAGACCACTCCTTAGTATCGAGCTGACTTTCTTTTGTGTCTGGCTTTGGTTTGATTTTCACATTATTGTCTTGGTGACCTCAATAGCTGCATGGCCTTGATGTGGAACTTGCTTTTGGTAAGTTCATTTGCAACACACTTATGTGAGTTACAAAAAGCATAAGAAAGGCCAGGTTGCTCACCTGTAACTATGATTCTTTGAATAGTCATTTGTCAACTCACACAAACTACCCTTTCTACACTTGAATATCTGCTAAATTGCTGAGGAGGATAAGGAACTGTGGCCCATATAGACAGATGCACTGGATGTAGTCCACACTCTGGTTACATCCCATATAGACTACTACAATACACTCAACGAGGGGCTGCCTTTGAAGACTGTTTGGAAGCTTCAAATGGTCCAACGGGTGGCAGCAAGGTTACTAACAGGAGCGGTGCTCAGGAAGTACACAACTCCCCTATTGCGCCAACTCCACTGGCTGCCAGTTTGTTACCGGGCACAATTCAGTGCTGGTTTTGGCTTTTAAAGCCCTAAACGGTTCCGGCCCAGCTTACCTGTCCAAATGTATCTCTCCCTATGAACCAGCAGGAGCTTAAGGTCGTCTGGGGAGGCCCTGCTCTCGGTCCAGGGTGGGGGAAACAACTCTTGTTTGTTTGAGGCTGGTGTGAATGTTGCGATCGCCCACCTTGATTAGTATTTAATGGCCTTGCAGTTTCAAAGCTTGGCTGCTTCCTGCCTGGGGAAATCCTATATTGGGAGGTATTGGCTGGCCTTGTTTGATTCTTGTCTGGAATTCCCCTGTTTTTGAAAGTTTCTCTTTATTTACTGTCCTGATTTTAGTTTTTTTTTAAATAGCCAGATTTTGTTCATTTTCATGGTTTCCTCCTTTCTGTTGAAATTTTCCACATGCTTGTGGATTTCAATGGCTTCTCTGTTTGATCTGACATGACACCTGCCAACAAACAATCACCCAAGGCAGGAAGCAGCCAGGCTTTGAAGCTGTAAGGCCATTCAATCCTAATTAAGGTGGCTAATTGCAACATTCACATCGGCTTCAAACAGACAAGAGTTCTTTCTCCCACCCTGGAAATTCCACAGATACATAAACCTCACTTGCCTAGTTTCCAACAGACCTCACAACCTCTGACGATGCCTGCCATAGATGTGAGCGAACCATCAGGAAAGAATGCTTCTGGAACATGGCCATACAGCCCAGAAACTCACAGCAACCCAGTGATTCTGGCCATGAAAGCCTTCAACAACTCACTGAGAAGCGATCAGATCAACTGCAGAACTACTGAAGGTAACCATGGAGGAGTAGGTTTTAAATTGCAGGATCATAAAATGTTAAATTTTTTATCTTCGCTTTTGTATCTCACCCAGTAAAACTGTTAGGTTTTCTTTTCTCTATAGATRTGAAGAAGTCACCTTTGTGGCCAGTGACTTCGTCACAAATACAGGCAGTAAAAGAAACACCTGGAAGATCCCTTACATAAGTAACCATGCAATASGTCTGAATGCAACTGATAGTTTGGATTGGATTGAATAAAGCTGGATTTCTTGATATTTTTTTTCTAGGAAGAACTTAGGGCCCTTCTACATAAGTCATATAATCCAGAATATCAAAGCAGAAAATYCCACAATATCTGCTTTGAACTGGGTTATCTGAGTCCACACTGCCATATATTTCAGTTCAAAGCAGATATTGTGGGATTTCCAGCTTTGATATTCTGGCTTATATGGCTGTGTGGAAGGGCCCTTTGAAGAAAAATAAAGAAAACCAAGGTAAAAAACCAGAACTCAAAGCATAGCTCACCTGGAGTGGACCTTTTACCTTTCCTGATTATGCTTTAAGGCTCCCTATTTTTTCCCTTGACAAAATGGTCATGTGTTTCTTGTGTTGCATGGAGCAGCGCTCTGCCTGCATTTCAGGAGAACATGCGGAACTTGGTGCAGGAAGGGATACTGCTAGGAGGACCCTTTGCGAGGACTGTGAGAGCTGTTCAGCAGTGGAACTCTCTGCCCTGGAGTGTGGTAGAGGCTCCTCCTTTGGAAGCTTTTAAATAGAGGCTGGATGGCCATCTGCCGAGGGTCCTTTGAATGCAATTTTCCTGCTTCTTGGCAGGGGGTTGGACTGGATGGCCCACAAAGTCTCTTCCAACTCTATGATTCTATGATTCATTTTAGGTACTTCTGCCCTGAATGGCTGAAAACAGATGGCACATGTTGCATTTTCAGGCTGGCCATGGGTAATGGCAAGCTTCCTACTCTGTGGCTTGGATAGAAAATGCAGCAGGCTGCCAAAGGTAGGAAAAGGACTCATGTCTCTTTTCTGCTTGAATTCAGGCCCTTTCAAAGAGTGTTATGAACAAGAAGGGGCTTTGTGGCTCGAGCAAAACGGCTCAGTTCATTTTCGGACCGAGTAATGCAATGCTACATTAGTTCCTCATTTTGAAACTCACCAAGTTGTGATAGCTGCAACCATATTTTTAAAAAATATATATGAAAGCACTCGGTTTGAAACCTGTTTACGAGGACTCGCGTGCTGCATGCAACCTGTACAGCCATGTGGCAAATGGGGACATTCAATCAAAGGAACGGGCCTGGAAGACAGAGCCAGTGCTTTGAAGACAGAACCAGTGTTTTGAAGACAACCTGGCTCCCTGCCACAGAACTGGGCAATTGCTGCCAAGGACGGGCAAAGCCAGAAACAGGTAAATATTTGAGCAATGTGGTAAGCCACGTGAAGACTCCGAAAGAAGCAAACTTGCTTAGCAACAGATGCTGGTGTCAGGATAGGCATTATTTAGCAGGGTAAGACAGATACTAATAAGTGGCATTTCCCAATTTTTTCTTACACAAGTCTCACATTAATTAATGCACACTATTTAATTACCTCCATTGGTGAATGCATTTGTTTCCAAATTCAAACTGTCCGTGGAGCCGGCTTGGAAAGTGACATGGATCCCCTGGCAAGGGGCAGTGAGGTTTTCCACAGAATCACTGCTGTGCCTCTCAAACTCCGATTTACCTTGGTTCATTTTCAGAAAATGCCTAGAAATTCCAGGGAGAAACAAAATGCAATGAGAAGATTATACTCTCCAACAAGACATGGTTAAGGAACGTGATTTGGTCTACACAAGAGTCTCTGTGGTCCAGCTAGCTTTGTTGCAATTTATTCTCCTCTTTTGTCTGGTCCCAGTATTGTTGCTGTTGTTGTTTTGTGTGCTTGTATTATCAGTGTGTAAAGAAGCCCCATCTACACTGACATATAATGCAGTTTGAATGGCATTATAATGGTCAGTTCAAACTGTATTATATGCCAGTGTAGATGGAGCCTCTTTGCACACAGGTAATACAAGTGCACAAAACAACAGCAGCAACAATATTGGGATCAGAGATGATAATAATAAAACTGAATTGCATTGAACTGGATTATATGAGTCTATACTGAATGCAGTTAATTTGCATTCCGAAACTGCATTACATGGCAGTGTAGATGGGACCAGAGTAGCACAAGAGGACAAAAATGAGTAAATGAGAACATGGTCTCAATACATGAAAATAACATGTTGTTAACATTAAGCAGGACTCAGACCACTCTGTGCCAAATCAGGCAAAAGCTTCAGAAAGCCACATAAGCTGATTTCAGGAAAAGGAAAGGGAACACAACTGTAGGAAGCAAAAGCATTTGCACCTGAGGGTTGATCTACACTCCCATGTACTCCAGATTATCTGCTTTGAATTGAGTCTACATTGTCATATAATCCAGTTCAAAGCAGATAATCTGAATTCAGAAACTAGATTATATGGCAGTGTAGATGGGGTCTGAGAAAACACACCAAGGGGTTATCTGCACCAGTAATTCAGCTATAAATCAAAGTATTCTTCCCTGGATTCTGCCTCTTAGCACCACATTTACTCCCGATAAACTAGATAACTGCATTGATAGCCTCACATTTCCCATGCTCCTTTTTCAGGAGTATAGGCCCCGTTAAATGTCTTCCAACACACACTATATAGGTAATCACATGTAACACGCACCCACAAGCAGGCAATGTCAGACCTTAGAAAAGAAGACGTGCATAATTTACGGTGGGAAGAATCCTAAGTCTTTACCTTGTATTCATTTTTTTTACCTCAATGAATTTCAGAGGCAAGCTGATGCACATACTGTACCTGCAAATTTCCTATTTAACATTAAGCCCTCTGATGTGCCTTGCTGCACCACTATTATTCTCACATCTGCATTTGCAACAAAACTAAGTAGGGTTTATCCATTTCTGGAATGGTTTTCTCTGCACGCGGAAGGCAAAGTGGCAGAATTTCTTGTATTGTCTTCACAGAATACCTTTGCAACAAGCACTTAAGTGCACTGTGCTGATAAATTGCAAAAAGGAATGCTCACTGACAAGGCAAAGCTCCTTTCCGATTACATGGGACCTCCTACCTACCTCTTTATCTGTAGCTCAAAAGCAAAACAAAAGCTCGTGTAGTCATTTTCTCACCAAGCTATTATTCACTGAGAGAAAAAGCTATTTCTTTCCTGTAGTTATTCTCAAATCACATTGCTTTGCAAAAAGAAAAAAGCACAAATATATTTCTCAGTCCTATTTATAGAGTTTCTCTGATTTCAGTGGATATAACCTATAATTATAATTTGTACAACTATTGCAAGTTGAGTATTCCTTATCTGGTAGTTTGGAATGCAAAATATTCCAAAATACAAAATTTTCCACATCTGATGCCTTTGTTTTCTGATGATACAATGTTAACTGACTGTTTCATTGTCTTTGGGTGTTGTGTGTAAGATGTGCATGAAATTTAAATGTATTTCATATTTAGAAGGGACCTATCTCCGAGCTATGTAAAGGTAAAGGTTTTCCCCTGATATTAATTCTAGTCGTGTCTGACTCTGGGGGTGGTGCCCATCTCAATTTCTAAGCCAAAGAGCCAGTGTTGTCAGTAGACACCTCCAAGCTCATATGGCTGGCATGACTGCATGGAGCGCCGCTACCTTTCCACTGAAGTGATACCTATTGATCTACTCACATTTGCATGTTTTCAAACTGCTAGGTTGACAAAAGCTGGGCCTAACAGCGAGAGCTCACCCCACTTCCCGGATTCAAACCACCGACTTTTCAGTCAGCAAGTTCAGCAGCTCAGCGATTTAACCTGCTACGCCACCGGGGGTTCCAAGCTATGTATGCATATGCAAAAAACAAAACAAAACCCTGAAACCCAAAACTCTTCTAAGTCCTAAGTATTTAGGATAGGGAATACTCTTTTTAATAGATAGATAGATTTTATTTACATACAATAACAACTTATATTGTAAACAAAACACAAAACAGTGAACATTTTACAAACACATAACCCCACCACCAAGGCCTAAACAAGGAATACTCAACCTGTACTATTAAACTATTGTTGCTTTAGGTAATTTCCCCCTTCACACCAATGTGCACATATACCCGCCAACCATGTGGTCTGCTAAACAGAACTCTATCACTGTCCACAAATGCTTAGTCTGCATTGTAATACAGCTGGTTTCTAACTAATGCCACAAGATTATTTTGATTGCAGCAGATAAACAACATCAGGGCAGGAAATGGGAAACAAAAAGCCACAACCCCACCCCATAGAATGAAGTAATATATCTCACCATCTTAAAACCATTAAATCCAAAGGCTAAATTTAGATAATTTAGGGCTTATCTACACTAGCCTTAAAACCCAAAGTGGACGAAAAGTGGCTCCTGGAAGTGCAGATTATGCCCAGGGATTTGTGCTCCTTAACCCAGGGTTAAACGGCTGAATCAGTTTAGTCCCATATTAAGGAAAGTTGGGGAATGCTCCAAGGTTTCACCAAAACTATGGAGAAACCCTGCACTTTGGACAGAGAATGGGCAGCCAAATGGCTCCAAAGCAAACTGATCGGATGTCCATATGGGCTAGTGCCACCATCACCTGGCAGCGCAGGGAAAAGAGAACAGATTAGCCTTTGCTGATAGAATCATAGAGTTGGAAGAGACCTCATGGGCCATCCAGTCCAACCCCCTACCAAGAGGCAGGAATATTGCATTCAAAGCCACCCTGACAGATGGCTGTCCAGCCTCTGTTTAAAAGCCTCCAAAGAAGGAGCCTCCACCACACTCCGGGGCAGAGAGTTCAGCAGCTCCTGGCAACAGGTTGGAGCTCTTCTGGGTCTCTTTGGCTTTTTGACAGCAGCAGCAGCAGCAGCAACAACAGGAAAGGGACAGGGAAGGTCCAGTGGGGTCATACTGGTATTAGCCCAGCAGGATTGTAAAAACCCTTTGCAAGCAAGGAATGGAGATGATGATGATACTATGTAATACAATTTGAAAAAAATCTGTTCCTGGTTTGGAAGTGTTATTCCTGTTTAATTGTATGGTGCTTACTTTGAAAGTAGTTGTCTTACTCCAGAAACTTCATTTTTGTGACTGCCACAAACTATGCTGAACTGGTTGAGACTCTCTGAGATATTCATTTAAAAACTATTGCAAAGTGTGCTGCAGGATGTCCTGCAAAAACAAAGTTTTGGCAGTTTGATACACTTTTTTATGTTTTTATGACAGATCCAATTAGGAAATGACATTTATAACCCATCATGTAATTACTAACTTGATTTATTTATTCTCCCCATGGGGATTCAAGGCACCTAACAGCCATACACTCTAATGACAATTTAAAACAAAGCAAATACAAAAAATAAAAATAACCCAATTAAATATTTGTGTATGGATAGAAACTTAAAATCAAATTAAAATAGGATTGTAGATGTATATCAGGTTCGTAGAGGGAGATAACCTTGACCTGTCACTGTTGGGGTTCAGCCTGCGTGTGAACCTGAACCTGATCCTCTGATTGTATTTCCTGATGCAACTGAACATGAATTTGTCCCTGATGGTTTGGAAACTGTTGATTCTGAGGTCAGTGGCTTGGAAAGTGAAACTACGCATCCTGATGGGAATGTTTCTGAATCAAGCGGTGATAGCTCTCCAGAGGAGCTAGCACCTGCCTTTTTTTAAAAAATGAGGATAGAAAAGGACAGATTTGGAAAAACAGGAGTGAATCGCAGGGTCTGCGAAGGTCAAGCAGATTAAAGGAAAGGGAGGCACAGGCTTCAAAGCCTGGAGGCGTGTCCCAAAACAGTTTCTTTAATTTTAAGTGTCTCTCCCCGGGCTCTCTCGTTAGATCAAGCATCATTTAGACTGAGGCATCACCTTGGCAGATTTCCTGGTTCCCATGGCCTGCATTCCCAGAGGCTTCTAGTTTCCAAGTACAGTTAGTGAAATGCTAACAGGTTCCAGGTTTTTATAGTGTTGCTTTTGGAATTTTGATCTAGTTCATAGACATTCCTGACTGCTGAATTTTACTGTGGCTTTTTGGATTTTGCATTTTCCTCTATTTTGTAACCATTTTTCATCAATAAAAAAGGATTTTTTTTCCCCACAGTCAAGTGTGGTGGATTAATATCTTATGGTCTTGTTTCCTGATCTGGGTTGCAACAGTCACAAATGAACACTTCTATGGCTACCAGGGTCAGTCTGGAGCATGGTAGCATTGCAGAAAGTGTTATGTACTTCATTTTATTTATGGATGACATATCTTGTGTTACATTATGATGTTTGCTTAACCTTTGAGATATTTTGTGTTCTATTTTTATTTAATGTTTGAATTTTTATATGTCGATTATAATGTATTTTGTCAGTTTTATATTGTTGTGAGCTGCTCCGAGTTCCTTCGAGGAAAGGGAGCAGGATACAAATAAAGTTTATTATTATTATTATTATTATTATTATTATTATTCTTTCTACTCCAGATTGGTCCTGAAATATTTCTAGGTGTAGATGGGCGCTTAGACCCTGTACAGCACTTCATTTGGCAAATACAAAAAGTCCCCACAAAATGAGAGGTAGTCAGAAAACTGCTGGATGAGGAAAACGTATGTTGCTAGGCAAGTTGAGTAGGGAGATTATTATTTGGGGGGTGGGGGGTGTTGTACAAGATTGCAGTAAATTACTCGAATCT